TTTTCGAAATGGCTTAAATGTGATTTGAAGGTTAAGTTGAAATATAGCCCTTTTTAAATATCGACTTATTAAGTCGAGAAAGATATTCAAAATGGCCGTGAACTACGTTCGTGTGTGTTATTTCTATGTAAGAACTATACGTAGTTTCGTATGCCAATAAACACTCATTTGATTAAAATACAAATTCAATAAGTTATATAGACAATGGCGATCAAATACAAAGTAGGCCAGCTTCCCTCATAGCACACTGCATAACTTTCTTTTCTTGGTGAGCTATAGAACACTCACTATACTTAGGCTTATAAAAGTTAAAACATCACAGGTCAATTGCGTCACTATTTTCCTCAATGCACACTGCATAGCTTTGTCTGATTTCACAGGCCCTCCCAGCAAAAAATGTAGACTAACTATATGTTGTGCATGTCATAAATCTCCTGACATCGTTTTCCTCGTTGCACACTCAATAACTTAACCAAATGCCACAGCCTTTCTATGATACAGATCCAAAAGGGATAGACTTTTCTGGCAAATTTTTCATCATTGCTCATCAAATTGAGTCTTGGGTTTTTATGTTGAAACAAAATATTTAATGGGACAGATTCGCCATTTTTGGGGGTTGATTTTAGTCTCATATATATTTAAATAGTCTTCAGAAGTACTAGAAATATAAAAAAAAATCTCACAATTCCTTCAAAAATATCTCAAACTAGGAAACTATATTTTTTCTATATATGACAGTGTCTCAAAAAATGACGAGTCGTCTTTTTAACATTCACACGCAGATAATTCTGGAAACACATAAATTTGAAAGCAAAAATTTCGACAGTGAGCTGTGAACACTATTACTGATTGGCTTAGCTAAAAAATAATCCTGTTTCTGAGATTGAGTTACAAATTGGTCAAACGAGTGGAAAACCTGTCCCTTTTAAGGTACATTTAGCTAATATCACAGGCAAACAGGGAAAATATTTACAATAATCATTAAAACAACAATAACTATGACAGATAAACATAGATAAATTATTATTCTGGCCAGGTAAAGAGTTACTTCCCTTCCCACTGCTCTGAGTTTCAAGGGAAACATCCCGTCAAGACCAGAAAAACTTTTGCATCAACATTTAAAAGATATTAGACAAATATTGAAATCAAATCTGAACACGTACTATAATATACTATTTACATCTTCTCCTTCAATGCATTAAAATCACTGATTTATACAATTTTCAAAAGCATGTTAAAGGTATACTACCTTTGAATTGTTTATCCATTCCAAGAGGTAGTATACCTTTAATCAAAAAATAGCGAATATACAGAAAAACAACAACCATTAAAAATTATACCAGCAAACATTAAAACATTGTATCACAAATATTGCACCAAAACCATACCGGATATCGGAAAAATAGTAAAAAATAATCATAAACAGTCAGCAGTTTTAAAACAGCAGAATATATGGGAGGAATGGCGAGATACCACGGCTCTTAATAAAACTAAAAATATCGTTTGAATACAGCCAGACTAATTAAAATTATACCAAACTTTCGTTCCGATTTTATTAACTTTTATTTTTAATATAACCCTTCAGTTAGGGTCTATAGACGGATCTCTTGAACTGGCGTCAAAATCAGGTTTAAACCAATCAAATTTCTGCCAAATCTTACGCTGGAATTTTGTGAGAAAATGAAGGAATTTGATTGGTTAAAGCAGAGATCATCAGGTTAAGTCAAAAGGTTATTTGATGAATGTTGAAGAAATGGCTATATTAAAAATAAAAGGTTAGAAAAACCGAACGAAAGTTTGGTCTAATTTTAGTTAGACTGGAATACAGCAAAAGTTATGGAATTAGCGGCGGGGGTAATAACGTGCCACCTTAAAAAACAAGAATGGTTAACCAAACATGTTTCCTTTTTGTATAAGGTTATATATATGGTTTTCAAAAAGTACTGTAAATTCTCCCACTTACAACATTACCCATTACCCATTAGTCAGGAGTAGACTATTTTTTAAATATTTCCAAATTTTGTAATTTTTTTTGCAGGAATCGTACCCTTGTAAAATATGTTATTTAAACTGTATGATGGTGAAAGATTCAGCGACTGTTTTTAAAAAACTCTATCAAGAAATAACAGGGAAGGCTTTAACTGGAAAACGTGATCCAACACGCAGCATGGAGAAATGTCTAACGACCAGTAAATCAAGCATGTAAGTAGACAGAAATATCCCCTTTAAACAGTGTCTAGTTTTTCTGACTCTACTCAAGCCAATAACTGTCAAACTATTTATCTGGAATAGATGCAGATCTGTTGGACTAATTTCAAGAGGAAAATTCATGCACTGATCCAAACCATAACTTCATATGTAGCCGGATAAACTGATCACTGGTAGAAAAAATACGATTGAGATACTTTCTTCAGAATTTGTAAATTTGCTTTATTGTACACTGAATGGCTTGCCTTTCTTTATTAACCTCCGAGATGCTGAAAAGTAGGATGTAAAACTCCACATTTGAAATAAATATCTCTATATTTTCAGTATACTAGTATTAGATGAGATAGACCAACTAGATAGTAAGAGTCAAGAAGTTTTATATACGATATTTGAATGGCCGACCTTGCCTAATTCTAAATTAATCTTGATAGGTAGGGAAAATTCTTTTTGTCATAGGAAAATTAAGGAGTGGTAACTTATAACCAGCCTTGAATGACTGTTTTAGTCTGAGGGACATTTTCTAACGATTATGACACATGGTATGGGAGACTTATGCTACGGGCACATGAAGAGTCTTAGTCGGTGATTTTTGTCCCCGACTACGGTCTTGTCAAGAGTCAAGAGACCAACTGTGGGACAAAAAATCTCAAGTTGGTTGTGTCTATGTCAATAAATAGTAAATTACATACTGAGCATGCAATTGAAAGGAAAATGAATCTGATTGGATGATGACACTTTGTCTTGCAGACGATAAAACAATTAGTGACAAATATCAAACTTGAAATTATAAATCCTGTTGGCAATGGGATAATCTTGTTGTGGAAGCGCGAGCACATGTAAGATTCTGCTCAAGATTTGTGTTGGTAACAAAAGACTATTTGAATGCCTGCAACATAAGTGGATTAAGCAATTATGAAAATGTTGGATGAACTTTTCAGCCTAGTTTAATAAGTTTAATAAGCAGAACAAACAGTTGCCAGTTCTAACAGCTGCCAGTGGGTGTATGTTACCTTGTCAATTTTTGTATCTGTCCCTGTCTAAACCACTGTATATATAATTGTAGGTATAGCCAATGCATTAGATTTAACAGATAGAATATTACCAAGACTTCAAGCTCAACCTAAATGTAAACCTCAACTATTAAACTTTGCCCCGTACAGTCGAGAACAGATAGCTACTGTTATACAAGACAGGTTAAAAAAGGTAAGGTTTATTGCTACACAAGTTTCTTGAACCTATGATATAAAGCCATTCCAATTTTCAATCAGGCGTGTGTGGTTCCTGCAATTCAATTATGGTGCATATTGATGCTATTAGTGTCCCCGAGGCACAAGTTTATTTTGATGGGACATTAGTAGGTCATTACATTACATATTCTCTGGTTTATTTGCAGTTAGAAGACTCAGGAATGTGTGTTATGGAGGCTAGTGCTATACAGTTCTGTGCTCGGAAAGTGTCAGCTGTGGCTGGTGATATGAGAAAAGCTCTAGACGTCTGTCGGAGGTCTGTAGAATTAGTAGAGGCAGAAATCAGAGGTCAGCAAATTCTCAAAGCTAAAGGTAGATTTGACTTAATTATTTGAGTAGTCTAGGAACCTGTTTATTGGTCCAATGCAGAAACAATTTTGTTTCATTATTTTTCTTCGTTAGTCTCGATTGTAATCTTAAAGATTTAAACCAAGGTTGTGTACTATTGATTTTCATTTCAACCAATCACAGTGTGTCATGCAGAATCTGTCTAAATATTGACTATGAATTGTGGGATAGCAAAAACCAAAATAGCCATATAACCAATGAGATTTTGAGGCTGTCAATACTCTCTTGTTACAGTAATTCTGATTGGCTGGAGAATGGTGCATGATTGTCTGCTATAAATAGCTTGTAACG